TGCTTAAGAAAATTTTATTGTATTTTTTCCAAAACAGCAATCTCTAGAAGCAATTTTTGTAGAGATTCTGGTTCTAGAATCTTATATAATGCAACTGGGAAGAAAAAAGAAAAACTTAAATTTATCAAATAAATTTTGTTTTATTAAAAAAGAATTACAAATAGTTCTATGGAAAAATGAATCCAGCCATCTTATGGATAGATGTATTAACAGCTCTTCTGAGCATCTATTGACTTATCTCTTTCTTTTACTATCTGTCAGATACTTTCTTTCCCAGAGCCCTCTTTGTATATATCCCTTTCTTTCCCTATCTGCCTCCTTCCCTATCAGTCCATCTTCCTGGGAATGAGTCTTTATGTATTTCTTTCTCTTTTGCTCTTGGAGACTGAATATGATAAGCCAGGAACAAAGTGTCCTGATATATTGTGAGTTTTTTTTTTTTTTCCCACAGAAATAGCCAGGAATGTGATAACTTTTTCATTGCATTGACTAACTCTTTTTTTTTTTTTTTTTGGCTGGGGCTGGGTTTGAACCTGTCACCTCTGGCATATGGGGCCAGCATCCTACTCCTTTGAGCTACAGGCGCTGTCCACATTGACTAATTCTTTAAAAAAGTGGGTTTTAATTGCTGTGAGAGTTAGAAAGTTCTCTAATGTAAGCTGACCTCTTCTCTCTGCTCCCTTTGTCTGCTGATCCAATATAAGAGGACAAAAACTCAAACAAAGCTTGCTACTATACAGAGTCATTAAAATTGCCACAGTTTACACTAAATGAGAAGAAAGACCTATGGACTTGTTAGGGAGATTATTTGATAAGCAGAGTGATGCTAAAATCCACAATGCATTAAAAGACCTACCCTATTAACCAGTAATTGAATTTTGCCCCAATGTATTTGTCTAAGTTGGAAATAGATGTAAATTTTATGACAATAAAACCTTAAATAAACACAATTGCATAATTTTCACCATAAAACTCATATTTTAACCCTATCACACCACTTAAACCATGAATCTCCCATCCTTCTATAAAACTTAAAGTACCGTTTGGCAGTGCCTGTGGCTCAAAGGAGTAGGGCACTGGCCCCATATGCCGGAGGTGGGGGTTTCAAACCCAGCCCCAGCCAAAAACTACAAAAAAAAAAAAAAAAACCCAAAAACTTAAAGCACTGTTTATAAAATGTTTCCAATTACTCCATGACAGCAGTCTTAAGAAACTGCAAAAAATCATGTTTATCACATGGAAAGGGAAAGGACAGGTGCTGCTCAAAGTATTAGATATGTCTGCAAGTAGCCGCAGGGTTAGACTTTGTTTTCTTCTCCTTCTTACCTAGATAGTTTGCATCTTGTAAGAAAGCCTTGAGAATATAACATGTGTTTATATTAGATACTGGTGAGTCTATGCTTGATGAACAGGGGCCCCTGGAATCTAGCAGCCCAGGGTGACCTGGCTCCGTCATGCCTGCCTACTTGATTTGCAAGCAAGTCACTGAATCTTTCCGTGCCTCAGTTCCCTGATGACTAAAATGGAAATAATAAGAAGATAGATATACCTGATAGAGTTGGTGTTAGAATTAAATAAATAGACTTAAACTACTTGAAAGAGTGGCACATGGTAAGCCTTAAAAAATATTAAGTTTAAAAATATATATATTATGTTTTATTAGTGTTAATTATATTTAATTATTCATAAAACTTGAATAAACTTTATTTTAGGCCATTATAGATCAATTAGAATCATGAAACATAACCTCCAAGCCCTCTGAAAATTTTTGTTTGATAATGATTTTCTCAGAAAAATTCTTTCCTCAAATAAATAGGTATGTTTTGACTCATGATCCTCTTGTTTATGAGTCTTTATTTTAAATTTTATTCTCTGAAAAGTAATTGAAGATTACTGAAAGGCTATATGTTATGTTTTTGGTTGTTCCCAACCAAAGATATTGAGTAAGGTGCTCCTTCTCCCACTTGGGGTTACAGAGTAATTACTAATTAGAGTGTCACAACTCATATTCCTACAGAATATTGCTAGGCATAGGTCCAAAGGTATAATGCTTCTATAAATAACTATAAATGACTACCTAATAATTTAAGTTGGTAAGTATGTATTTTGGTAAGTATGTATTTGGTATTGTATTTGGTTTTCAGTTATTATATAATAAAATATCATTATTGAAAGACCAGCACCTACTTTTGAAATATTTACCCTAAAATTTCTGTCCCATATTAAATAATTAGTCTCAGATTTTGAATTCTGAAACAATAAAATATATTCCATTTTTACAATTATATTATAGAAGGCAACTGACTGGTAATTTCAAAGGAAAGCAAATAACAGCTATTGGAATAATTCCAATGGGAAACTCACTATGTAAAACAGAATATGTTTAGGAAAAACATGGTGTATGGATTCTGAACTACTGTCATGGGGAGAAGTTGATACTTACCGATTCTTAGGGAACTCAGTCCCTGGAATGCAACAAACACTTCAAATGTGGTATGGATTGTTAAATAAATGGTGTACCCATAGATAAAAAATTTATGTAACTATTAATAATAATTTTTGAAGACAATGAATTAACTTTGGAAATGTTCATCATTTACTAAGTGAAAGAAGCCACTGATAAAAATGTTACAGAATTTTAGCTCAATAAAATACTTAGAACATGAATGTGCTCTTCAGTGTTGGGTTAAGACTGAATAGACATATATATGTTATCTTACAAAGCAATGATAATTTCTTGGCAATGATATCATGGATAATTTTAACACAGAGATGCATTTCTGTATTTTCAAAATTCTTTTTTTTTTTTTTTTTTCTGAGACAGAGTCTCACTTTGTTTCCCTTGGTAGAGTGCCATGGCATCACAGCTCACAGCAACCTCATACTCTTGGGCTCACGCAGTCCTCTTGCCTCAGCCTCCAAAGTAGCTGGGACTACAGGCTCCCACCACAACTCCCAACTATTTTTAGAGTGAAGGTCTTGCTCTGGCTCAGGCCGGTCTCAAATTTAGGCAATCCACCTGCTTCAACCTCCCAGAGTGCTAGGGTTACAGATGTGAGCCACCACACCTGGCCTCAAAATTCTTACATGTAAACATGCATTCCTAAAGATGACCTACCACCATTGGAAATACCCAAAATAACAGATCCGAGAAGAGATGATGACTAAGGTCCTTCAGTATGCAACTAATATGAAGCAAAACTTTACAAAGCAATGTCTCTCTCTCTATGAGCTTTGTCCACACTTATTAGCAAGAGAGAAAATAGACATTGCCATTTAATGAGCATTTATTTTATTTTTTTATTTCAGATTAATATGACAGTACATAGATTAAGTTACATTGTTTGGTAAAGAAATATATATATATCTTTACATATATTAGGTAAAGCCCAAGTTGTGGTTGTTTAGTGAGCATTTAATGGGAGCCAGGTATTATGTAAAAAATATGATACACATGGTTTCCATAATCTTTACTGTGATCTTATAAAATAGAAATGATTATTGTTCCTATTTTAGAGATGAAGAAACTGAGGTTAGGAAAGAAACGTGACTTGCCCAAGGTCATTCTATTAGTAATAAATACAGGTGAGATTCTACTCATTTGTATCTAATCTTTCAGTCTATGGTGTTAATAACTGCCTTGGAATTACGAATTTGTAACCACACTTATACATGCCAATGGATTTAAGAGTGTTGGAGAAGTAGAATGCTATCAAAAATATGATAAATAATCAGCATGAGAAAAATACTCCATACTTTACTCACTCTTGCTTAGAAGATAGTCTCTTGTTTGAACTAACCACAAAGTCAAACAAACTTGTTCTGGCAGGACTACTCCTATGGTGCATATTACAAGGGTACGTGTCTAATCTATTAAGTATAGAGTATAAATGTCTTAACACAATAATTAAGTAAATGAGGTGAAGGATATATTAACTAGTTTGATATAAGCATTTCAAATTATATATAAAATCAGCACATTGTACCTATAAATGCATTAATGCATACATGATCTATCAGGCGTCCTTAAACTAAGGCCCATGGGCCACATGTGGCCTACCTAGAACATTTATCCGACCCCCTGGGTGTTTTTGCCGCCGCTGCCTGTCCTGCTTAGCAGCCGACTTGTCCCAAGGCCTGCAGTCTAGCCCTCCGACAGTCTGAGGGACAGTGAACTGGCCCCCTTATTAAAAAGTTTGAGGACCTCTGATCTATATGTTTGTGACTTAATAAGAAAATATATATTTTCTAATTTCTATGTCATTAGGGATAAAAATGAAGTGGAAACAAATGGAGACTTATAGTTAACAGCCTCAGTACATCCTTTGGAAAAGAACATGAGAAACCATCATGGTCTTGTTTTATAACTCTTCTTGGCTTCTAAGACCAGGAGTTTCTTCTGTAGGAAAGGGAAATGGCCCTTCTGGCATTGCTGCCTGCCTGCCTGCATTGAGGCGCCCCATGGAGTTGCTGGTGATGAGAATATGCAAATAATCCGAGTGTAAGTTTATCAGCCTCTGAGCTGGGTAATTCTTTCTTGCAGTGTTGGATGTCCTGGACATTGCAGGATGCTTAGTGTCATCCCTGACCTCTACCTACTAGGTACAAGTAGCACAGATGAGTCATGACACCAGTGGTCTCCACATTACCAAATTACCCGTGGGAGAAGCTGTCCCAATTGAGGACACTGATCCCTGTATATTCCCAAACTTGGCTTTTTCACATCCTTTTAAGCATAACAGGTCCCGCCTTCCAACACTACCACAATGACAACCAAATTTCAACATCAGTTTTAGAGGAAAAGACAATCAAATCATAGCATCAGAGAAATAAAAATTCAAAGTCTTTGCTGAGGGCTGGCAGTTTTTCGACTTTTTAGCCTTTTGGATACACCTTTATTATCCTGAAACATGTTTAATGAAACAAGAAAATATACTCCACACTTGCATAGGGAACATCTCGACAGACTCCTAGAAAGAGAGATCAAGTCAGCTGCTTACCGTCAACACAAGAAGGTCGGTTTCTTGTCGTTCCAGCAACTTTCCCAGGTAGACAAGAACACTTTACTGTTTGTGACCGTTCCTCAATGCGATTCTTGTTACAACATCTGTGTGCTGCAATCACTTCACATGTCCCTCCTTCTGGCAAGAGAGAAAGAATGGGCATCCCGATTAGAAATAAGTCAGTGGCCATTCAAACCTGTGAGAGTACATGTGGACGGGTTAGGGCAAGCGATAGGAATTACAGAAATGCTTCCCAAGAAGTATAATTGCTGAGGGGCTCTCTTTCACTGTGTTCAGTCTTGGAGAAGACACTTCTATACTTCCAAAGCAACAAAGAGTACCAATGAACAGCTCTCAAGCCGTGATAATTCTGGGCTGTATGTACTGAGAAGCAGTAAAACAGTGAATGTGCAGAACTAACACAAGAGAAACCATCATGGTCTTGTTGCCACCTGATATAGATGTGTTGTATTTGGGGATCTCTCTCCAGTGTTATCATTGCATTTAAGATTCACTGAGCTCCCACTAAAGACAAGCAACTGACACTCCAGTGATATAGAATGTGCAGTGGCAGGAAAACTTTCAATTTCCCAGTCATTATGGGTTGGGGTATTTTGTTGTTGTTTTAAGCACTTCCTTACATTCTGGCTCTACAAGAATATTCTAGGTTTATTGTATATATTTCTTGCCCCAGGCTTAGAGTCAGATATTTTTCTAAGAAGCAGGTTGGGACATTTGAATAAAATACACTAGAGTAGATGGAACCGAGGTATTTTGCACATATGAGGTAGGATTAAACTGAAGCAGTCTTCTCTCTCAAGGGGTAGTCCTCAGTGTTGCAATGAGGCATGGGTAGGAATTCATGGAACAATGAACTGATATGATTGGGTACTGCTCCAGGGCTGGGGTCACCAATCCCTGGGCCAGACTTGAAATGGTCCATGGCTTGTTAGGAACTGGGCCACACGTCAGGAGGTGAGCAGTGGGTGAGCAAGCAAAATCTGATCAGTGTTTAAATCCACTCCCCCCATTGCTGGCAGCACCACCTGAGTTTTACCTCCTGACAGACAGTGGTGGCATTAGATCCACACAGGAATATAAACTCTCCTATAGACTGCACACGTGAGGGGTCTAGGTTGCGTGTTCCTTATGTGAATCTAATGCCCAGTGATCTGAGGTGGAGCTACAGTGGTTATGCTAACACTGGAGAGTAGCTGCAAATACAGATTATCATTAGCAGAGAGGTTTGACTGCACGAAGACCATAATAAATCAATTGCTTGCAGACTCATATCAAAACCATCCATTCCCCCCCAGCCCTTGGTGGTGGAAAAATTATCTTCTATGAAATTGGTCCCTGGTGCCAAAAAAGGTTGGGAACTACTACCGTCCGGGAACCACCCTGGCAGCTGTGTGCAGAGGGGAAAATAATAAATGGCTACTATAAAATACTGAGCAGGAAGTAAGAAAGGTAGAACTTGGATCGGGGAAGAATGACGCCCTATGTCGGCACACACAACACTGGGACTAGACTTAATGGAATAAGGCTAATCACACTCTATACTCTTCTAACCCAGACACCTGCAATCATGTTGCTTTGGGTTGTAATTGTCAGCTGCAAATACCCTCAGTCAAGTCAGTAATAGCCAGTTCTACACTTCATGAAAATGCCACTAATTTTAAACTCACCCTGTGGCTTTAATACAGGAGTGGAGCAATATTTATGATTGAAAATAGCACAAGGCATATGAAAGCTCCCAGGATGGATCTTGAATCTTGTTTGATTTATAGTCAAGTCAGCAGACAAATGACAGACATGCCAGATCGCCTGAGCTATGGCACTGAATCAAATAACATAACAACAGGTGTTCACTGGGGGCCCAAGCCTCTCACAACCCGGCTGTCAACCAACCCAAGAAACTGTCCCATGCTATGCTCAGGGCTCACTGCTATTTACTGAGCTCTGTCTGACGTGGGTGCTGGGTGCTATTCTTGGCACTTTCCCTACATTAATTATCACATCCCAGCAACTGTTGTCCCCATCTTACAGATGAGAAGCTGGGGCTTAGCGAGGTGGAATAACCTATCCAGAATCACACAAATGTGAGCACGGTCCATCAGATTCCAAAGCTCATGCTTTTTGCATCTTGTCACAAGTTGTCATTCTTTGTGGACAAAAAGCTTTCAAAAGGAAGTCTGACTCTTGGCTTAGAATAGTTATCAAGGTTAAGTGTCCTCCCATGCCTCTTCCCCCAGCTGTGTCTCTGAACTGATTTATTTACTCTTGTTTGCTTTCCCTTTCCTCCAGCAATTCTGCTCATCTTGCTGGTTATTGCCTGCACGTGCCAGGCACCATGTCCCCCACCCTCCCACCCCTGTGGGTCTTTGCACCACTTGAGACACATTCCTAGAAGATCTCTGGCTCATTCTTTCACCTCTACATCTTTGCTTAAAAATCACTTTGTCAGAGGAACACTTGACCTCTTACTTAAAATAAATCATAATTCCTTTACCTGACATTCATGAGTTCCCCGACTCTAATTTATAGCACCTCACCTCCTGCGTCATCACCTGTAACTTTCAAATATAGCAGTACATAATTTGCTTATTTATTATGTTATCATCTGTGTGTCCCCCCTTGGGACTTAAACTCTGCAAGGACAAGGATTCTTATTGTCTTCTGTATGAAATAATGCCTGGCCTATTAATATCAAAGTTTAAAAAGTGATTTTAACACATATTTCATTTTATCTTCAAAGTAGTTCAAACATAGAAATAAGATGATAATAAGATGATTATTATTCCCATTTTCTAGTGAGGACACAGGCTTAGAACAAACAACATAACCAGTAACTAATGATAATAAGAACAGTATTAAAAGAGTTAATCATTTATATTTTTCTTCTGTGCCTGACACCATCACAAACCTTCAGCTGTTTATTTTATATACACAAAAGTCCCATGAGATTCTGATTACACACATTTTACAGAAAAGGAAACTGAGACCAAGAGTGATTTATCATAAAAACTTGCTACATCTTACCTAGCAAGGACCCAGCAGCCTCTGGATCAGAACCCAGATCCTTGGACCCCACACAAAATGCTCCTTCCCCTATCCCACCCTGTCACACACACTGCCATTCCTCTGGAAAGAGGGAGAGAACTTGGTAACTGGGAATTGACAAATGCTCCATTTACATTCAAATTTTATTTTTGAAGTTAGTGACCCCAGGCCATATTTTCCTTTCGGGCTCAATAGATGATGGATTTGCATGTAGGAAGCCAGAGAACAGGTGTTGGGGTGAATAATAGGCTTATCTGGTCTGGACAAGTTAAAGTATGGCTTCAATGACACACCCTGCTCAGGTGCATGGATCCAGAGCCCACAACCACGTCTTGGTGGAAATGGTGGAGGCCCAGAGGAACTCGAACATTTAGAAGGTCTGATTAGCCCAAATCTCCTGATTTCTAAGGTATACATTTGTGACTGACCTAGCATAGTAAATGAGAGCAATTTAATCTTTCAATCTTATCATGGAACTCTGGTTTGTTGGTTCATATCAACAAAATAAAAATATTAGATCTTTGACAGGAGACGTCCCACTTATACACATATCTGCAGTCTGTTGCTCTCAAGTTATGTTTTGTGGGGCTCTGTGGATGACCTGAGGATTACCTCTCCTTTCCACTGGAGAGCACTGCTCTTGTTATTTTAACATGTGGTATATTTATCTATTCTCCAAAGGGATTACTCTGCTAAGGAAAAAGTGAAAACAATTATCCCTACTTGGTTATCAGCTCTGTAAAGGTAGTATTAAATGTTAAGTAGTTGAGTGATACATTATTAACTAAAGTCTAGGGTTTATTCAGATTTCCCAAGCTTTTATTTAAATGTACTTTTCTGTTCAGGGTACTATCAAGGATAGCACATTACATTTAGATGAATGGCTGAGTGAACAAAAAGAAAAATGAGTAACAAAGCTGTTACCGATTTTTTTTATGACCAAATAATATGGAACTTTGATGTGGTATAATACAGTAAGCTGGTAAAATATATTCCTCCCCCCCCCTTTTTTTTGAGACAGAGTCTCACTATGTTGTCTTTGGTAGAGTGCTGTGGCATCAAGGCTCACAGCAACATCCAACTCTTGGACTTAAGTGATTCTCTTGCCTCAGCCTCCCAAGCAGCTGGGACTACAAGCTCTTGCCACAATGCCTGGCTATGTTGTTATTGTTGCTCCAGAGTCCTGGCTGGGTTTGAACCCACCAGCCCCAGTGCATGTGGCTGGCACCCTAACCACTGAGCTATAGGCACCAAGGCATATTCCACTCCGCCCCCTTTCTATGTGTTTTTTACTTTTTAGCTATATCAGGAGCCCACATTTATATATATATTTTTTCCCTTGCATGACTTGGTCTTTATTGTCTGGGCTGGAGTCCCATGGCATCAGCCTACCTTACAGCAACCTCAAACTCTTGGGCTTAAGCAATCCTCCTTCTTCAGCCTCCCAAGTAGCTGGGACTACAGGTGCTGGCCACAAGCTAGTTTTTTTCTATTTTTAGTAGAGACAGGGTCTCACTCATGCTCAGGCTGGTCTCAACCCCTGAGCTCGGGATATCCTCCCATCTCAGCCTTCCAGAGTGCTAGGATTACAGGTGTGAGCCACTGTGCTCGGCTTTAGAGCCCACCTTTACTTTGGTCCACTTAAGATACACTGACAAATTGATCATATTCTGTGGAAAGAAATAAAATTCCTGCTGGCCATAGAGATAGAATTTTTCAAGATCCCCCGGCACTTATTTACCTATTTTCCTCATCAGATGGCTGTTTGGAAAAGGGAATGAAAAACCAAAATGGTCCCCAGACATGTTCCCAGTGAAAGGGAAAAGCTAGGTTTGTCATAACACTTTCTGAAAACTAGAAATCTAATTTATTTGCATTTTAAGGATTATTTTGTAAACTATTCCAACCATACAGCCAAGGTTATTTCAAAATCATAATGATAGTATTTGTTATATAAATCCATTTCAGACTTCTTTTCGGTGCCACTGACAATGCTTTACTAAATTTTATCTCACTCCAAGTCAAATGACTTCAAGATGATCTATGGCTTCTTAAAAGTCACTTAGGGCTCAGAA